AGCCCCCCTCCAGCACTGCATATTTTACTTTTATTACTAGTCTCAGTCCAGCCCAACCACTTGCCAGCCCAGCCCAAGCCATGTTCACACAACATAGGCAGCCCAGCCTTCCCTTAGTTTTTTTCTAGATTCCCCACTGCATACAAGGGCTCAAATCTGCCCGTTGCCCTTGGAGATGATCTTATGTGGACCCGCCACCGGAAGTCGTGTCACAAGGAGCCAAGAGGCTACAGTTGTCGGAGTCGCCATCTTGCAACCTAATCAATATCAATGTTATCTTTTCTGATTTTCTTCCTAGTTATTGTCATGCATTAATTATAAAATATTTCCTTCCTGATTTGTATGGACCGAATATCATGTAATCAATATCATTTATTACCCTCCATATTTTCTTATAGTACTTATGACGGTGCATTAATTGCACAATATTCTCTTCCTCTTTTGTATTGGCAAAGATTATATGATCAATACAATCAATTACTCTTATTATTTTCTTTTTATCGTGGTATTGCCATGCATTAATTGTGTATCATACAGTTATGCATTCCTTAGATCCACATCAACGTGTGTCCATTAGAAAAAACCGAGACCATCTGGAACTAGCCCTTGGAGGCATATTTTTATGGAAGAAAGTCTCTAAGCACCATGCGCCACTTCGGACTCGAGCGCGGGCGGTCTAACTCGCTCCCTGTGAGCCTAGCCAACTGGGTGACACCAATAGATCTGAGGCTCCAGGAGAATAGATGTCAGTCGCATTTCTAAGCCTCTGCGTCCTCATTTCTGAGTTACTCCATACATAACGTGCAAACCGAAACTACTACTCACATCTCACTAAAGTACATGCAATTCCATGCTCAGCAGCGCACAATTCCAACTTTTTAGTGACTGATTAAAGGAAGAGTTTGCCAATTGCAAGAGAGAAATAATCACTAGTATGCATCGCGGAAAGCAAGTGCTATGTATGGAAGGATGGGGAGCGCATCATGGAGAGCACAAAAGGCGTGTCAACGTATCATTTTAGCGAAGAAACCGCAGGAGCAAAGAAGAATGATACGCTCGCTCGAAAGCCTTTTGACTTGGTGTGTCTCTTGCCTCGATGGAGTGGCAAGGAAAAAACTCTCAAGCCTCATCATGCATGCACGCCAACACCTTGGCTCAAGTCTCAATGATACTCCGCACGATGCAGAGCGTGATATGCCTTTCTTTCTTAGTCAACTTTTGAAGCGGATTGGCACGATTAATTAGAAGAGCGTAGAAACTAAGTGCACTGGTTTCTTGGAGGCTGGAGCTTAGCTTCCCTGCTGAAATGATTCTCTCCTTTTGTCCTCCATCCCAGCCTCGCCGTCCATGTCAAAAGGCAGATCATGGTGTCTCGTGTGCAATGCGCCATGGCATCCAAAACCAATGTAATAATCGCATCGATTTTTATCCATTCACTCTACTTTTTTCTTTACTTTTGAGATGAGATTGTGTGCCGAATGATTAGTTCATGGAAGATATGGATCCCTTGGTCCATGGTGGGCATGATGGGGAGGAACGCCTGCCTCCATCTCCTATCATCCTTCACATGCATGGTGTCATGTCAAACCTCAAAGGTATATAGTACGTGTGTGCATGCACCACCAGACAAAACACCTAAAGCTCACCACGGCAGGCTCACTCACATACTTACGGCGTCAAAGCCAAAGATCCACCTTATATATGCGGCGTGTGTTGCCGACAGACGGCTCATTCCAAACACCTTGAGCTCCTCACAAGTCATTTCTAGGAGCCTCACCAACATGTGCAGCTCTGCTTCCTGGAACTCCTCGCCTCCTGGTGTGCTCTTCATCAGGCAGCAGGGGAAGAAGAAGCCACATGTCTCAATGACTCTCAGGAGGAAGAGGTAATTAACATCTCAGCATGTTTCTGTTCCAGATTAACCGTAACAGCGGCAGCAATGGAGCTTATGGAACATGATGCTGCGTGCATGTGTGCTTACATGCAGCTACACCCGTATGCTTTCAGGTTAATGCTGATCAGGAGGAGGAGGGAGCTGAGGAGGGCTGCTGGAGGGGCGGAGATGGCGATGCTGAACCTGAGGCTCCACCTGGAGAACCGGCGCATCCTGGCCGAGAACGAGAGGCTCCGGGAGAGGGCCGGCGTGCTCCGCCGCGAGAACCTCACGCTGCGTGCCAACCTCTGCAAGGCGGCGCCAGCGCTGGCAGAGGCCGCCCCCGGCTGCTGAGCCTCCGGCCGTTCTCCTTGGTGGCTCCTTGTTGTGCTTGTGCTAGCTTGTCTAGGTGTGTTGATGGTAGCTCCTTGGCCTGTTGGAGATGGCTGGCTGGCTGATGATCTGTGCTTATTGATCAACCGCAAGGTTTTTCTTGGACCTAATTTGTGTGATTTGTGGCAAGATCAATAGATCATGGTTGCACATTATATGTTTAATTTGGAAGTGCAGGGATTAGTTAGCAAGTTTTTGTGTGGCTGGCTCTTTTGAAAAGAAAAGGGGGGAGGAAAATGAAAGGCGGCTTTGATCAAAAGGGCAAACATGTCAACTCAACTTTCTCTTGTTAAAACCAGAAAAATTGTGTGATTTGTGGCTTGATCATGGTTGGACATTATATGTTCAATTAGTCTGAAGTGCAGAGATTAGTTAACAAGTATTTGGGTGGCCGGCTCTTTTTTGAAAAGGAAAGGGGGGAGGAAAATGGAAGGCAGCTTTGATCAAAAGGGTAAAGATGTCAACTCTACTTTCTCTTGTTAAAATCAAAAGATTAAAGGCAAAAAGATGGCAGTAGTCCTTTGTCCCTCTACATGCTCAATGTTTACTTACACCTTAAGATCGCCAATGATTAAATACCATGAACTCCTCAAGAAACCTTTTCCAGCCTTTTTCATTCTGCTCAAAAGCATATATTGGCAGATATCCTTGTGAGCTTTCCCTTTTACACCTTTATTACCTAGACATACCCCCCTTTACTTTGATGAATGTTACTGGCAATGCATTATATGTGCCAGTATAATATCTACAACTGCAGAGCCTGAATCAAACTTCCAAATGGCGGCAAAAATCGCAACACCAAAACTGAAGCCGGAGCTGAGCTCTTCTTCGGAACAAGAACAAACAAACCCAAAACAATTACTATCACCAAGCTGCGACGATGGGGGAAACAGTCAGGTCATCTTGCAGCTTAGATCATACAACAAATGGAGCTAAGCTTATACTAGTAATACCCATTGTGCATCCCTCAAAACCGCAAAATGGAGAAAACAATGATATGAGGTACAAACAACAAAGCATGCCACCGGAGTTGCCCCAAAGAATATGTCGTACATTTCCATCAAGTTATCGGTTCAGAGTCGGGGCACAAGGAATTGTACCATAACCGGATGAATCCAGCACACAGCTACAGAGACAGACAGACACTTTATACAGTTCAAAAATCGACCAGAGTTTTTCCCAGGATTGAACAAAAATAATTTCGACACAACAAGAGATGTTTTTTTTTCCTATGATTGTTTCCCGCGACCTAAGTAAAGTATTTTCCAGAGCATATGGTGTTTTTAACTGAATCTGTAGTATCAAATTTCCCTTGGAAGATCTCATTTGCGAAAGCATCCTAGAAGTTCCGCTGGCGTTGCTGACCTTGCTGGAGCTGTGATGTCTGCCTTCGAATTTGTAGCTGGTGAAGCTGAATCATCTGGGAGCTCATCCGTTGGTCTGAACTGTTCGGCATATGAGGATTACTGGCCTCTGCAACAACCAGATTTAGGCGTTCGACCTCAGCATTCAATGCTTCGTTCAGAGCTGGACACGGAGTAGTGAAAACCCAAGTTAATTGACTATGACAAATAAACAATAAAGTTCATTCTAACATAGGCGAAGTAGGGGTAACAAGCACGTTAACACAGGATACCACATGACTAAAAGGACTCAACATATAACTGAAGTAATAGTGCAAAATACTGATAGTTTACAATCAACCATTGGAAGAACACAACTTGAAGTAAATCAGCAGAAAAAACTTGCAGTGCCGGTCAATAAAGAAAGCAAATATACCAGCCAACGAATGAGAACATTATGAGATTAAACAATAACATGCAGGTTCTGTTTGAATTAAGTTACCCAGAAGAGGAACCATTGTCAAAAGATCCAAGTTTTTTGGCACATTTAGAATATTCTACGGTATCAAGTGCAGTACACTATTCAGGCATGCATATATGGGCTAGTTTGACAACGCGGCACCAGAGTTCAACATAATGTTTTTGGTGTTATGCCTAGACTCCATCCTACCATTTGGTTTTCTGAACTACACATTCAGTTCTTAACATTGAAAACTCCAGTCGCCCTAACAGTCCAAACAATTCCTGAATTCCAGTTGCCCCAACATGCTTATATGTTGCAAACGCATTATCTATTTTTATCACTGTAAACACAAAGCCAAGATTTGGTTGTAGATATCATCACAACTTCTATTACAACATCACAAGTTGCACGTGCAGAGCCAGAACATACAGCAGTGGGCACCAACTCATATCATACATACGCAGACTTCTACTGCGACGCATTATCTATTTTTACCACAACATCAAGAAACGAACATTGATGCTGGAAAATAAGGAAGCAAACTCACCCTCTTTCAACCGTGCTTGCTCCTCCAAAGATTGCAGCCTGATTCTCATCTCTTGGTTGTGAATTGAAAGCCTAGCCTGGCCCTTCTGCAAAATATATGCATTCACAGTAACTAAGACTGTCAAACCTTCAAATCCAAATCAAAATGCTCACCACACATAAAGCTGGGCCAGAAAGCCTCTTGTCTGTAAGAAGGAAAAAAAAACGCCCACCAACTTCAGAGAACGAACCTTAATCATTTTCACTTGTGCAGATAAGTTCATAGTCTCCCCCTGCAGCACCTGAACCTTGCCCTCAAGCTCCACTATGTATTTTGCCTTGCGCTCCTTTGACTTAGCAGCAGACAGCCGATTGTTTAGGATCCTGGAAAATTTTACAAGACGATCAATTTTCAGTAAAAGAAACATTTTTATCAATGACAACCTTATTGTGATCATGGACGCCCAACACACCTCCTGACCCTCTTAGGATCGGTCAGCACAATCTGTGCGAGGTGCTCGCTGTCCATGATAACCTTCTTTTCTGCCTCACTGAATTCCTTGCTGTTTGCAAATTCCTTGGCGAAGAGAGCAGCGGCACCACCAATGGAACCACTTCCACTCCGTGCCAGCCGACCAGCAGCACCTGGCCCCGGAGATGGAAGCGGCAGGTTGGAGTTGGAGTTGGACGGCTCCAGGCCGGAAGGTCCAAACTTGAACTTCCCTACAAGGCTGTCCGCCGACAAGCTGCGGCAATGCCTGGGCAAGCTGCCGTCCGCGCTCTCGGCTTCGTTCTCGCTGCTGTCAACGGGGCTCCACGCGGGAGCTTGGCTGTCCAGCTGGTCGCGCCGCTCCTGGCCGACGGGCCCGGAGGAGCCGACCGCGCCCAGGCCAGTCGTACTCATATACGCGCCGAGGACCCCGTCGAGGGTGCTGTTGTTCGCGGCCACCAGGGACTCCGCGTTCACCGGCGCCGGAGGTGGCATTCGCAGGTTCGGCTGGGAGGAGAACGCCAGGAGAACGTCGCTCTGCGACCGCTGATGCCCCGCCCGCAGCGGCGGCAGTCCGGACGCACCCCGCTCGGAGCCCGGCGGCGGCGGCAGTCCGGACGCCCCCCGGTCTGAGCCCGACGGCAGCGGCGGCGGCGGCGGCGGGGAGAGCGCGATCGCCGCCGGCGCAGACGGATCGGGGTACGGGGGCCGGAAGAGAAAGTCCATGGAGAAGAACTGGGGCTGCGACAGCAAGCGCGAGCGATGGGATCCTGCGCCACCGCTCGCCGCCGGCGGCAGCGGCGGCGGCGGTGGCGGCGGCACGCGGTAGTAGCCGAAGCCCGGAACGAAACGGGCGGCTACGGAGGCGGGGTGGGCCGGCGGGAGTCGGAGCGAGGGCGGGAGGCGG